CCCCCATTTTTTTCCCCGTTTCCCCCCATTTTTTTTCCCGTTTTCCCCCCATTTTGGCCGGTAAATCTCGGTAAACGCCGTCCGTGTTTCTCCTTCCAGATTGACAGTGAGGATCTCCTGGACAACTCAGGAGATGCTGCCAGTGCCTTTTTTGAAGGTGCTGGGGTAGGTATTCCCACTCTCCTTCCCCTCATTATCCCAAGTTTTTTTTTTTCCCAAGGATTTCCCGGGACAAAAAAATCCCCAAAAAACCCCCAAATTTAAAGCCCAAAAAAATCAACATTTTTGTGGATTTTCCGCTCTGGGAGCTCCGAAACCCCCCCCGACATTTCCAAAAACTTGGGAAAACTCCGAGGATCCCGTTCCTCCGGAGCCCCCCGGAGCGAGGGGGGGCCAAAAATCGGGAATAAACCCGGAATTGGAGCCGGAAAATCCCATTTTTCCCTCATTTCCCCCCTCCCAAGCATGGCCTGCTGTGCATGCCCAACCAGCATGAAACCCTCCCTCTCCATTCCCTGCAGTTTTCCTCCCCTTTTCCGGGTTTTTCCCTGGAATTTTCGCTCCTTCCAGGTTGTCATTGGTTTTTGTTGTTTTTTTATTTTTCCCCCCAATTTTTCATTTTATTCTTTTTTTTTTTTTTTTTTTTTGAACTTTAATTTTTCTCCTCCTTTTGGGCCAAAAGCCAAAGGGGTTATCCCAAAAAATCCTCTTTTCCAGGGATTTTTCCCCCACGTTGGGGGGATTTTTATTCCCTTTTTTCCCTCCTTTTTTCACGAGATTTTTCCTTTTATTTCCCAAAAAAAACCCCTCTTGGTCTTCCCAAGGGAGAGATTTCGGAGCGGCAGAACCGCGGGATGGGCCCGGAATTCCCAAAGAATCCGGAATTGGGATGAGCTTGGTTGGGTTTGGAGCAGTTTGGTTGAGTTTTCGTTGACTTTGGTTCAGTTTTGGTTGAGTTTAGGGATGGGTTTGGTTGAGTTGGTTGAGGTTGAGTTTTGGTTGAGTTGGTTGAGTTTGGTTGAGTTTGAATTTTGGTTGAGATGGTTGAGTTTGGTTGAGTTTGAATTTTGGTTGAGTTTGGGTAAATTTTGGTTGAGTTTGAATTTTGGTTGAGTTTGGTTAAATTTGGTTGAGTTTGAATGTTGGTTGAGTTGGTTGAGGTTGGTTGAGTTTGGGTTGGTTGAGTTTGGTTAAATTTAGTTGAGTTTGAATGTTGGTTGAGTTGGTTGAGTTTGGGTTGGTTGAGTTTGGTTAAATTTTGGTTGAGTTTGAATTTTGGTTGAGTTTGGTTGAGTTTGGGTTGGTTGAGTTTGGTTAAATTTTGGTTGAGTTGGTTGAGTTTGGGTTGAACTGGCTGAGTTTGTTGAAGTTGGTTGAGTTTGGGCGAGTTTTGGTTGAGTTTTGGTTCAGTTTTGGTTCAGTTTTGGTTGAGTTTTGGTTGAGTTTTCTTGGTGTTTTGTGGAGTTCAGTTTTTGATGGAGTTTTCTTTGGGTTTCCATCAACTTGGGTTGAGTTTTGGTGGAGTGACTTTCAGAGGAGTTTTGCTTCGATGAGTTTTGGTTGAGTTTGGTTGAGTTTGGTTCAGGTTTTGTTGAGTTTCCATTGACTTTGGTTGAGTTTCCGTTGAGTTTCTGTTGAGTTTCCTTTGGCTTTGGTTGAGTTTCTGTTGAGTTTCTGTTGAGTTTCTGTTGAGTTTCCTTTGTCTTTCGTTGATTTTCTGCTCATTTTCCGTTGACTTTGGTTGAGTTTCCGTCGAGTTTGGTTGAGTTTGGTTAAATTTGGCCGAGTTTCCGTTGACTTTTATTGACCTTCCCGGAGTTTGGGGGATTTTCATCGATGACTTTTGGTTGAGTTCCGTTGAGTTTTGGTGGCTTTCAATGAGCGACTTCCATTGAGTTCCATTGACTTCCATTGACCTCCATTGGGTTCCATTGAGTTTAATTGACTTCCATTGACATCCATTGAGCTCCAGGGAGTTCTCTTGAGGTCAATTAAGTCTCGTTAATTCCCACTGAGCTCCGTTGGGTTCCATTGAGTTCCATTGACCTCCATTGGGCTCCATTGAGTTCCAGTGAGCTCCGTTGGGTTCCATTGAGCTCCAGTGAGTTCTGTTGAGGTCAGTTAAGTCTCGTTAATTCCCATTGAACTCCGTTGGGTTCCATTGACCTCCATTGACTTCCATTGACATCCATTGAGCTCCAGTGAGTTCTGGTGAGGTCAATTAAGTCTCGTTAATTTCCATTGAACTCCGTTGGGTTCCATTGAGTTCCATTGACCTCCATTGAGCCCCATTGACCTCCACTGGGTTCCATTGAGCTCCATTGAGCTCCGTTGGGTTCCATTGACCTCCATTGAGTTCTCTTGGGTTCCATTGAGCTCCGTTGGGTTCCATTGATCTTCATTGACCTCCATTGGGTTCCATTGAGCTCCGTTGGGTTCCATTGATCTCCATTAACCTCCTTTGAGCTCCGTTGGGTTCCATTGAGTTCTATGCAGCTCCATTGAGCTCCATTGGGTTCCATTGACCTCCATTGACCTCCATTGAGCTCCATTGACCTCCATTGACCTCCATTGACCTCCATTGAGCTCCATTGACCTCCACTGAGCTCCACTGATCTCCATTGATTTCTGTTGATTTCTGTTGAGTTCCATTGAGTTTAGGTGAGCTCCCTTGAGCTCCATTGAGTTCCACTGAGCTCCATTGATTTCTGTTGAGCTCTGTTGAGTTCCGTTGAGTTTGGTTGACTTCCCTTGAGCTCCATTGAGCTCCATTGACCTCTATTGAGTTCCACTGAGCTCCATTGATTTCTGTTGAGTTCCGTTGAGTTTGGTTGAGCTCCCTTGACCTCCCTTGAGCTCCTTTGAGTTCCACTGAGCTCCATTGATTTCTGTTGAGCTCCATTGACCTCCATTGACCTCCATTGACCTCCATTGATCTCCATTGACCTCCATTGACCTCCATTGATCTCCATTGACCTCCATTGAGCTCCGTTGAGTTCCACTGATCTCCATTGATTTCTGTTGAGCTCTGTTGAGTTCTGTTGAGTTTGGTTGAGCTCCCTTGAGCTCCACCGAGCCCTGTCCAGCTCCCCTGATCTCCCTTCGGCTCAGTTGGCGTCCACCGAGCTCCGTCGAGCTCGGTCGCGTCCCCCGACTCCCCCCGCCCGCTCTCTGACCCCTCCCCCTTCCCCCCCCGCCCCGTTTCCGTTGCCGCAGCTCCACGGGCAGGAGGCCGCCGGGAACCCCCTGAGCGCCGAGCCGAGCCAGCCGGCGGCCAGCGTGGACCTGGACTTCCTGGAGGATGACATCCTGGGCTCGCCCT